TTATAATTTTTTATGTTTATTATAGTAATATTATTTGTTTATATAGTCCTCCATTCCGAGACTCCTGGTTATTCAAGAAAAAAATCCCAATGGTCCTTCCTCCGTACCCCCAAGGCTCCCAACCCTATTTCCTCTCAGTGCCGATGAAATAATGGAGTTGAGATTTTGTTCATAGTTAGGAGAGGAGCAAAAATTTTGCAAGGTTATGATTTCTTTGTTCTAAGATGGATTCAGATCTGGGAGATGATGGCAACTCTGGATCGATTCTCCCCTTTTTCACTGCCGACTCCTCCTCCGATGTCGACCGTGGCAATGGTAACCCAGTGGTCTTCGTCCTTCCTCCTTTCTTTCTCTTTCTCCCCCTCTTCCTTATTCTTTCTTTCTGCTGATCCTCTGTACACTGGAAAAAGCAGCAGTTCTCGTTAGTGTCATCAACAGTGTGGAGAAGAAGGATTCAGATCTGGGAGATGATGGCAACTCTGGATCGATTCTCCCCTTGTTCAATCCCTCCCTGCGTTGGCCGTTCACGATGAGCAGATTCGGCCAACCTCCAGATCTCAAGAAGTTCTTCACCTCTAAGGTTTTTCTTCTTTTTTCTTTACTTAATCTTTCATGCTTCAGATTTCTAACTCTCTTTTGTTTCCCCGTTTTTTATTCTAACAAATACATGGATAAGAAGCTTTAGAGAAAGTTTTTCCTCATTTTTTATGTGTATGAATTCGATTTAAGTTTTTAGCTTATGTGATCATGTACTGTAAATGCATTTTATAGTGTAAAGAATAAAAAATGGTTAATTGTTTGGAAGATCTTGGAAATTGGCTTTTAATTTTGTGTTAATGGAAAGAATTTGAAGTTAAATTCATGGTTTGTTCTAATTTTTTTTTTTTGAATTTATGATTTTATGTGATCTTTTGTTTTGTTGAATTTATGATATTTATCAACCTGGATTGATGGATGTGCAAGGTGGAAGGAGAGGGAAAGGGAAAGATGAAGAAGATGATCTTTTTTCTTCACTGGAGTTAAACTCATTAAATAAGGTTTGATTTCTTTTTCAAGTCATTAGATTTTAAAAAAAAGATTGATTTTCTGGCGAAGGACTAAATTGGTCCCAAAAATTGAAGTTTGAGGATATTCTTGGAACTGGATTTGGTTAAAAATAAAAGTAGATGTATTAAATTGGGTATTTAACCTTTTAAAAAACTAGCCTATGTGAGAAATATCATTGAGTAGTAGCCTATTTCCTATATTACAATTTGGTCATAACTCTGTTACAAAAATTTTCCCTCTAATCTCACCTTTTTTTTCTTTGGTAGTTCAACGGATGGTCGCCCCTCCAACAAGAAAAGGTATAAATATGGAAACTTCTCTGCCATTTGAATCGGAGAATTTATGGAGGAAATTGAGTTTTAAATTTCCAGAAACCACACGATTATATAGCCAAAGGGAATACACAGCGCCTAAAATCATCCCAAGCGCGGCTAATGTGGCTACTAAGCTATTTCTTTGGAAAGCTCCTACTGAGATGGGAAATTCCGATAAAGCTGCTAGTACCAGGTGAACTCATAGCTTTCTCATGTTCCATGATAAACTAGATTAAGAATAACTTTTTCAATCCTTTTATGCTTGATTTTCTTTGCTATGAGTTTGAGTTTTGTTTCATTTTCTAAGTTATGGTTACGGACAAAATGCTGTACTAGGACAAAGAAGAAAGTCTACCTATCAATTTGATTTTAAAAACTATTTCCTGTTTTGGTCTTTATATTATTTCTGCTTTAGGTTTCTTCTAGTTTTTCATGACTGCAGCATTGAAGGGTCAACTTAGTGATTTCAATTGCCTTTTCTCGTTACGCTTCTTGCCTTGCATTAATTTTTCTGATAACATATACCCAGCTTCCAAAGGTATATGCCTCTTGTCATTTCTTTTTTTATTTCTTTTCTGTTGGTCATGTACATCTTTATCTTTAGGTTGACCTGCATTCTTTTCTTTCATGATCTGTTCAAGTATGGTAATACCAAATGTCATATACATCATCCCTTGCATGAACCAGTTTAAAAGCAGCAGCTTGGTTATGTTGGGAATATAACATGCCTACACTAGTTAGGTAAAAATATTATTTTGTTTGAAGAAACTTGTGGATAGGATTAACGATGAATGTATGTACTTAAAATATTATGAATTTAGACCTGATAAAAAAAGTAACCAATTAATATTTGTTCTGTTCACTAGATATCAATTTCTTAAAAAATTTAAGTGTTATCATCAAGCAAGCTTGAGGCTAATCTTTTGAAAGAGTTGTATTATCAGCAAAAAAATTGTTGCTCCTATTAAAATGTAGTCATAAACTCATAATTTGGTTAAAAAACTGAACTTTGTCTTTTATATTAAATATTAAAAATTTGGTTACCTCTTGAATGTCTAGTCTTTTTGGGCCATTCATATGCTTACTAGTAACCATCACTTGTTCAGCAACATGAGCTGCTGAATCGAAATCTATTGCTTTGACATTGAGATCACTGTTTACAAGCTTTTAACATGGCTAAATTAATATTTTATCTTTTAAGATTTGATGGATGATGGGCCAGCCGAAATAAGCTGGGAAAGTCTAGAGGATATGCTTGATGCCATAGAGTTAGGATCTGAGGGTTTTGGAGTGGTAAAAGCAGTCACTAGATATTAACAAAGACTATCTTTGTCTAAATATGTTTATAATAATATAATATGGGGTTAAAAAGTGTTTTAACT